TGGTATAACCGTGACAATGTTGTATTCTATTGCAAGGCCTGTCATGACCCTGGAAGTGTTATCGTGGAAGTCTGGCGCGACCGTAGCCTTTATTGTGGTTTATAACCGAATGTGAATATTAATGTTTAGTAGTAATTTTGATTCTGACATGATTAAGGTAGTTAAACACCATGATCATAGTATTAAACTGTTTAATTGTAATGAGGATCACTTAAAATTGTTAAGGATATTCCTGGCATTAATGTCATACATATTTACTAGTCATTGCAATACATTATAACGGTCATAGTAGAACTAAGCCTAAATCTCTACATTACCACCCTCATACCTGGCCTTGCAATACTATATTACATTGTCACGGTCATACCAGGCTTTGCGATCCCATAATACATTGTCATGGTCATGCCAGGTTTTCAAATACACATTGTCACGGTCAATTATAGCAATCATACATTTCTACATCACCACTCTCATACCCGAACTTGGACTACTATATCACATTGCCATGGCGGTCATACTAAGCCTTGCAATACTATATTACATTGGCATGGTCATGCCAGGCATGGCCAGGCTTTGCAATACACATTGTCACGGTTATAGCAGTCCTAATCGTAAATTTCTACATTACCACTCTCATACCTGAACTAGCAATACTATATTACATTGGCACAGTCATGCCAGGCTTTGCAGTACTATATTACATTGTTACGGTCATACCAAGCCTTGCAGAACTATATTACATTGTCACGGTCATGGCAGGCATTGCAATATAATACTGCATTGTCGCGGTTATACCAGGCTTTCACGATAACATTACCACGGTCATGGCAGGATCCTTGCGCTACTTAAAAAACACTGAATAACATGGTGACGGTTACGCCAGGCGTTAGTCTTGCAACAGATAGGGTCTCAGGTCTAGGCTCTAATAGAATGGGACTGACTTTAAATAATTTTGGAAGGTATGTGCAGCACGGCCAATTTTGGCTTTGGGCATCAACCATGGAAATTGGCGAATCTGAGAAAAATGGAAAAATTGTCTAAGACTCTACGAGAGTACCTTTTTGAGGTCAAAAATCAGTTCTTCTACAAAAAATGGTACTAAATTGGCTAAATCAGTTGCTGAGGGTCGGGACAAATCAGCCGAAAAGTGAATTTTTAGTCAATTTACCAGTATTTCTGAAAATTTAGTCCCAGCAAACTCCAGAGGAATTTGACATGGACATCTATGAAGTTGAGAGGAATAAAATGGACTTTTATAAGTCTGAGAGGAATTTAACATTGAAAGTTTCAAACTTGAGAAAAAATTAACATCGAAAAAATGCTTAAAATATTGAAGTGAACTTCCTAGGGACTTACCTTATCGATATTTTACAACCAATAATGGTTGTACATGTAAGTACAGTACACATAACAGTGATCTCCACAGGATTTTTTCACATGCGGGTGCAAAATTCTCATTTTCACAATTTAGACCAAAATTGGTCAAAATGTGCCCATTTTTATGATTTTTGTCATTTTCAAGTGGATGCAAATGGATTTCCAGGTGGGTGCAAGCCTATTTTCAAAGTCTCAGGTGGGTGCTGTGCCCACTTCCTTTAATGCTGGGGAGATCACTGCATAAGTTGTACAGTATTGAATCAAAAAATACTTTTGAGTTTTAAAAACACCCCATAGACTGAAATAACCTACCAAATATAAATTCTTGGGTATATTTTCACGGGGTGCCATCGAATAATTTTGGGGTCGTACCGGAGAATGACATTTTACTAGGAAATGGCAATAATTTAGCACAATATATTTTGTAACTAGAGTTCTACTTTGATTTTGACAAAAGTAAGTATTCCATGCAATGACTATTTCATACATGAGTTTGTAGGAATTCTGTTGGAACCCAGTTCTGATCAAGTACAAAGTTATTGAAATCGGGGCAGACAGACTTTACTCCGAAAGATGGTTTTTTGATTATAACTTTTTACAACATTTAAATATAGGCTTTTAAAAAATGTCCGACACAGTCCTTATACTGTTGAATACTCCTGTTAATTCTGATTCACACGTCTAGTACTAATACTAGATAGTATAAGAGGCCACGCATTTCATTAGCCAAACCAAAAGCAATCCAAGATATACTGTTATTTAAAAGTGGATTTCCCCTTTTTGAAGCTTTGAACTGAATGTACACTTCTTAATGCTGAAATTGATAGTTTGAGTTTATCCTTATATTTTAAGAAAATAGGTATGTCAAAGAAGATGTTAAGCCAAATGCTGCCTTGATAGCTCAGAAAAAGTTGAAATTTTCCTATTTTCTCTCTACAGGCCTTGTTGCCACTTTAATTTATCAAGTCATGAGTGTCATGCAAAAAATTAGCTTTCTTGAGTAGATTATTTTAATTAGCCTATTAATTTGGGAATTCATGTGAGAGCTTGAAATAAAACATAATGTCTTTATAATAAACAAATATCATTCAAAGTCATGTAGGCTTCACTTGCGGATCCAGAAGCCAACAGAGGGGGCACATTTCATGTCGGCAAAAAGATTTAACACCAAAAATTACGGCCTATTTTTTATAATTTGGCCTAAAAAATCAAGAAATGCTAAGTCATGTGCCAAAAATTTTTTGGGACCCTAACATTTTTTCTGGGCCCACACTAAGGGGGGAGGGGCCATGGCCCCCCTTGGATCCCCCTGGATCCGCCAGTGCACTTACACCATGGCACTAAACATTCCTTGGACTGGGTTCGATTCTCAAACAACTTGATATTTGTAAATTACCCAGGCCAGGGTTACTGAACACTTCGAGGCTTACACTGATTTTAACTAAACCAAATTTAAATAAGGGTCAATTTAATATACTGTATGAATATCTTTATTTTTCTATCTACAGTTAAGAAAACACAGCAGTTTTTAAAGATTATGAGACCGATGCAGAGTTGTTGCAAGTAGCAGAAGATTGGTCAGTGGTCATCCAAGTACTACCCAACCATCCCCTATGGTGAGATAATTATTTTAAATACATATTTATTAGATTATATTTGTCTCAATGTATAACTTTTAAGTATAAAATTGAAGAATATTCTGAAAAAATATTTATTGAGAAATGCAAAGGGAAAAATTTAAATTCACAATTTTTATATGTTTGTATCTACTCAACTAATTTTGTATTGTTTTATTTTTCAACTCTGGCACACCCAACCTGATTATGATTTCTGGGGATCCCACGCAACATGACAATGAGAAAGAATGATGGTGTATGAACCTGGCACACTCCACCCAACTTTGATTTCTGATGATGATGCATCAAGCTGGAAGTTTAGTGTACACCAACACACATATAATGCTACATCATGTACTTTGTTAGAAGGTCCCATGTCATTGTGAAACCGGAAAGTATTTTCAAGAAAAAGTCAAAAGTAATGTGATGTGATTATACAAATATCCTGCAAGTTGTGTAGGCTTACACCATGGAACTAATCATTCCTTGGATTGGGTTCAATTCCCAAATGACTTGATATAGTATTCACATTTCACTTTTATTTTGGCTTTTTATAGAAGCATATACATAGTTTCATCTAAAAAGTTTATTTTTTTTATTTGCACACACTTTTACAGCAGTGGCAGTAGTGCGTTACGGTAATGCCGGATTGTCGGCAGCGGCAGTAGATACTCTCAATTACCGGCAATGAAATCCATTGTCGATAATCGCCGATAATGGGGTGAGCACAAACTCTTAAGCAACTAACCGTGTGTTTAGGTCACAATTTCATACACAATGACACAAAAGTTACTCACCGTATTTAAGGTCCTATGCGGCATATTACATATTAAAATTACATAGTATAATATTCAAATTATTTAAAGAACAGTTAAAGGGAGAATCAGATCTATTGGGAGAGACAATTGCAAGCGACATGTACAGTTGACCTACCAATACATGTACATGTATATTCCTTCGGGCTCAAATTAAAATATGATATCTCCCTAAAGATCCATGATACCTGTATGTTATGAACTGGTGAAATTATCAATTAGGATTCAGTGTGCCAAAATGGGGAAAATTGTTTAAATTCTCCCAAATAAAAATGGTAACCATAAAATTAAAATAGAATGTATTATTGTAAAAATCCTAAAGTTTTTCTCAAATAATACAGCTGAGCTACATGTACTTAGGTATTTTAGAAAATAGCATGGGCTTTCAATAGAATATTGAAAGCCCATGAAAATAGGCATGACAAGGAATGCTATGAGCCCAAAATATTTTGAAACTAAACAATTTTTGTAAAGAGTAACCATCTGGATTTGCTAGATCTGCTTCTGCCTTTAAATGGTGCTGGAATAAAGTCCCAATGGTGCTTGATTGATGCTTGGCTGTGCTTGGCAGTGCTTGAATCACAGGGTAAGACTGGTAATTAATTGTTTTGATGTCCCTTTGGCTTAAATGAAATAAACCACTGGAAAACACCAGATATATTTATTAACTAAATTATTTATTTAATCATATGCACTCAATGACCCCAAGGGGTTTCCCAGGGAATTCCCTCCAAAGGGCATAAAGGTGTCAAACTAGCTCAGCGCCAAGGCATCCAGGGCTACCAAATGTTGTATATTTAAGTGTCATTGGCTCAAATAATAGGTTTTTAAAGACTATCTACATGATGACATGATAGGGATACTATGAGTTGATGAACCACTGCCAGTTGCCCGGGACCAGTTATCAATGTCAACGAAAAGTCGTACAAAACGTCTGCTCCAATGAGGGGGTATGTTCTCTTTTATTAATGGTGTAAATTTCACCAATTTAAGGGAAATGATACATAGGGATCTTATAACATTATTGAAATGTAAAATAAGCAACGAAACAGCATGGTTATGGCATATGAGAAGAATTTGTGGGACCTATTTTGAACAATTTTACACTGACTTCCTGTATGAGAGTAAACCGGAAGTTGATTTTACTCTCATGCGCAAGAAATGTGCGCAGGAAACTTAAGTGGGTTTTTTTTGATTTACAAGATCATTGTGTTCTTTAGTAAGTGTTCATTACAAATGTATAATGCAGGTACGTATGGCAAGTACGTTTTATTTTGATTCATAGCTTACGAGTGCATATGAACATGAGATTTGTCATTTTTATGTGCTCTTCTAAATTTTTTCAGCCAACTATGTGATGTAGTCTGAGGCCAACTCAACTGAATTGAAAAATTTTCAAGTGGCTTGAAATGAAATTGAAGGCCTAACACAATTCCACAATTAAATGCTACAACATGCGTATTCCAATCTAAATGATTTGTATTATGTCCTCTGTCAGTCAAAAAAGTCTGATTGGTCATGAAATTCGTTTATCAGTATGGTTACGTAATTAAAAGAACTCCGCAAATGGCAGTTCTGGAAATTCTGAAAGAAATTAAAAACCGGCATTGAATCTGATTCACTGTCTGAATCTGGTATGAGAATGCCCCCCAAATTATGACTTGAGGTTTTGCAATGGTCAGATTTTTCCACTTTCTGGTAGCAGAATGGTCATCGAAAATATGTTAGCTCACAATTGTGGTATCGTGTTGGTCTATTAGTTACACATATCCTTAATTTCAGGTTGCTTTGAATTGTTTTCCTCACATATCTGCCTTCTTCTCGAGGCTTTCTTTTTGGTTTGGCATTGGTCTTATATCTGGACATTTGGTATGGCACTGGCCCTAAATTTGGAGAATATTTGGTGGCATTGGATACTGGGTATGTGTTTTGGGGTGTTATTTTGGTTGTTATGGAACACATTGAAATTCACAAATTGGTATGGGAATATATTGATTTCTGAGAGTTCAGTCTAGGACCCCCGCCAAATTTTGTATACAGTGATACCTTGGGGGTATACTGTATCTTTAAATTGACAAAGTTCAAATTAGTATTTCTCTGATATCAGTCCATAGAAACCCCCTTCCAACTCGACACACTGTATTATAAAGAAAAATATTTTTCTTCCTCCTACTAGTCACAGCTGTTATGTAGACATGTATGCGCCATACATCTAAAAAATAGCAAACTAGTATTTTACATACTACTTTTCCTATACTTTTCCAATATATACGATGACCAAAACAAATATCACATGAGTTGACTTTTATGCCAAATAGTAGTAGTATAGTAGCTAATAACATTTTATGGACTAAAATTGGATTTTAAAAAGTACAATGTTAGAAAAAATTGGGGCATATTGCACCTGAAAGAGAAAATTAACATATGAACTGAATGAATACTGGTACCATCTTCATATCAGGCTCAAACCTGTTGTATTTTATGTGTGAACTACATGTTCTGATAATAATATAGAATCATTTACTTGATCTAATCTATTACAGATTAAAATTAATAGCAGGCAGAGCAGAAATGTCCATATACAGGCCTAGTTTGAGCTAATCTAATCCTCTACTGATTTCTACAAGGTGAGCTTTCAAAATAAACATAAAGGAGTGTAACTAATGTAGATGGTGAGTTAAAGTGAACACTGTATTGGTCAACTCAGTATATCAGAAAAACCAATTTATAGATAGTAGTTACTAGACTGGGATCAGGGTGAAGAAAAATATATGTGTTTAACAGGGCAATGAACCTTTATTTTAGCTGTTTCAATCGGTTAGGCCTATAATACCTCAATTCATGTAGTTCATATATTGGCAGGGTGCAAACAGATTATCAACTTGGTAACAATGCAACTCAAAAAATCTGAAGACGCGGCAGCACTCCATTGCTTTTACGTTGAAGAGATCATTAGTACTATGTGTGACATGTGTTTCTACAACTTACAAGTGCATCTGTTTCTACCAAAAATATATTTTCAATACCAATATCATATTTGCAGAATCAAAGTGCAGATTTAATGCAGCACAATGGCAAGAAGGATGTTTCTAAAGACAATAGGTGCTGTTGGTTACATGATACAGTATGGCTGTATAGCGCATTGTACACTACATTATATAGGAGACTTTGTCATATGTGCTGGCCCTTCTATGCAGCCAACAATAACAGACAATGATATACTGCTCACAAATCACATGACTGTAAATAGATTTAATGTTGAAAGGTATATTTCTTTTTTTCATTTGTTGGTTGTTGTGATTAAGACCAATGATTGGAAAATGCATATAGCCTCTTATTTCTTACTTATTTCTTCTCATGCAGCTTAAAAATGAGAAATTAGTTGAGCTGTAAGGCTTGTTTCCTCTGACTTATTGAGAATAAGATTCAACTCGGCATATTTTGCTATGGATCTCATACATTTCGTAGAAGCTAAATAAAATGTCTAAAAACTTGAATTACATACTTCTTCATACATTGTATTGTAAGTTCTGGAGCTTGATTTGTCATAAAGAAACAAGAAACTACACTACAGAAGGGGACCTTTTAGAGCCTTAATTCCAAACTAGTAACCTTGATTTCTGTGTTTTCAGAGGAGATGTTGTAATTGCAAAATCTCCAGTAAATCCTAAAACTCTTGTATGTAAGAGAGTTGTTGGGCTTGAGGGGGATGTCATCAGAGATGGCTTTTCAAAACACTTTGTAAGTATTTGCAAGTATTCAGATATGATACAGATGTTCTCAATGAAGTTTATATTTTAGTACATAACTCTGGGCCTATTTAGTAAATATACAGGGTGGGCCAAAAATTTCCTTTTTGTGTCACCAAGAAGTGACAGTTTTTTTATGACTTGTTATTCAGTGTTGGCACTTAAAATTGCTTCAAAATTCAAAGTGTCAGTTAAGACTACATAGCTAAAGTAAAAATTTAATCATTCCATGTGGTTTTGAACTTTCTGAAAGCTTGATACTACACCTCAGTATTTTTGCCTTAAATGGTACACATTTTCTTCTTGGTATTCTATTTATTTGCAACACTTGTCATTCACCTATACCCTACCTATACTAGTGTTGTCGCGATTAATCGATACATCGCGATATACATCGCCAAAGCTGATTCTGGCGATGCATCGATGTCTGAAACAAAACATCGATGTTTTTAAAAAAAATTAATTTGCTATAAATCACAGTTTCTTATCTTATTTTGACGCAAATCGCTTACCTTTCTCATGTCTTATTTCATTTTCCAATGTTTTCTGATATTCTTTCGCTTTAAAACTGTTTTAGCTAGTCGAAATGAACCGTTAATCTAAAAAATTACTTTACTTTCATTTCACCCTTACTAGAAGTTCCCGGATGTACCGGATGTTCGGTATTTTAGTGCATTATCGTTCGGTATTTCAGTGCACTTTTCTCGGACTTTTTCGCGATGTACATCGCGATGTGCATCGATGTTTACTACTGAAAATTGCCGATGCATCGATGTACGATTATGGCACATCGCGACAACACTAACCTATACCCACCATGCCCATAATACACTGATTTGTCTCTTTTAATCTACCAGGTTCCTCGGGGACATGTTTGGCTTGAGGGTGACAATAAGGACAATTCAACAGATTCAAGAACCTATGGTCCAGTACCATATGGACTCCTGAAGAGCAAGGCCTTCTATAAAGTAAGTACCATGTGACCTCCTTATAGTGTGTGCCAAAGTTTAAAACTGCGCAGGTGCAGCGCTCTCGCTAGCCTATATAAAGAGATTACAAGGTACAGGCTTCAGAGGTAAGCCAGGGAGGTGAACAATCTCCGTCCCGTGTTGATTTCACGTATTATCGTAACCAGGCAAGTTTCACCATTGAAATTGAAAATTACTATTAGATATACTTTGTAGATATTATTTATGAAGCTATTAAAGTGTTAATGCATCAACCAAATGACTCATTTTGAACATATAAGAAGTATTTGTGTTTTGTTTCCCAGGGAACTGTATTCCCATGTAGTACACACATAAATAGTGTACATTATGTTAAGTACTTGAATAGCCTGGTTTATATAATATTGAAGGGCATGCTGATTGTACACACGAGTACATGCATGAAGGCCTAATATTGATATAGCTTGCATACCTAAATAAAAAATAAACTCTTCTAATCCCCTTATGTAAACACGGCGGTATACGTAGCCCGATTTATCGGGGGCTTTAAGAACAAGGCTTTCTATAAAGTAGGTACCATATGGTCTCCTCAAGAGCAAGGCCTTTTATTAAGTAGGCACCATAATGACCATATGATCTCTTCAAGAGCAAGGCCTTTTATGAAGTAGGCACCATATTGCCTCCTCAAGATCAAGGCCATTTGTAAAAAAAAGTCAGGAAAAAAGTCCTTATTTCACTTTATTGTTGCTTGATTAAAATATGGCCAACCAACCAGCACAGGTGATATCTGTGGTGATACTTCAAACATTTAATAAATATGATATCTTATTCCATAGTTAGCATGATATTCATAGGATAACATGTCAAAATAAAAACAGTATTTTTGTAATCAGTGGTAAAATATGATATTTTTGACAAATTTTCACTTAACCATAGCATACGGTGTTTAAGCCATGACATACACAGAGGATGTTCTTTTTATTTCATAGTTAAAGTCATCATCAGAATCATCGGAAATTGAGTGATTTAATTCGAATTTTCTAAACGATTCGGCGATGTTGACAGTTAGTCTCGTTTTGAGTCTGAAGTAGCAAAAATCCATAATTCATAGCAAACGGCACCGTATGTCATGGGTCAAACACCGTATGCTATGGTTAAGTGAAAATTTGTCAAAATATTGTATTTTTACCACTGATTACAAAAATACCATTTTTATTTTGACATGTTATCCTATGAATATCATGCTAACTATGGAATAAGGCGCTGTGTGCTATGAATTTTTGCTACTTCAGACTCAAAACAAGCCTAAGTGTCAACATCGCCGGATCGTTTGGAAAATTCGAATTAAATCACATAATTTCCGATGATTCTGATGATGACTTTAACTATGGAATAAAAAGAACATCCTGTGATTTACTCGTGATATGATTTTAATCCACTCATGGATATTGATATCTGCATAATATCATATCCATAAATCTATTAATGCCACTTGTCTGCAAATATACACATCAAGATTACAATATAGCACTTTTCAATGATTTATTTTACTCAACTTTGTATTTCTATTTCACCCATGTATATAATACAAGCATTCATCTACTTGCATGTTTATTGCTTGTCAATCTTCTGAGAACACTAACAACATTATGTTGAGACATTTTGCTCAAGCATTGTTTAATATTTTAACTCATAATATAATATGTGTACATAATGTTTTAATGTTTGGAGTTTGTGAAATATTCAGCTACTTGATTCTGTAACAATGTTTTTGTTGCAGATCTGGCCAGTAGAAGACATGGGTACATTAAATAGGACAGTTCTCACAAGTAGATGACATCACTTTACAATAGGATAATTTATAATCAATACACACAAGAGAATTTTATAGTGAACATTATTTATGAGTGACAATATGCATCAGGGGTCATAACAGACACTTTGTAAAGATTATGAATCCCTTTGTTCATTGTTTTCTTACTATGACATGGTTACTTCATTAACAATTGATTCAGGAATTCATAACTTTTCAAAGTTCCTGTTATGAAAACCAGAGTTGTAATTCAGGGAAGTACTTATATATATATACTCACAATACATATACATGTACTTACTATCTCAGTGTTATCTCACAACAAAATTTGAGTGATACAGAGAAGTCGTTTTTTCAGTCATGTCTGTCTGGGGGCCATTATCAGAAACTTTGTAAAGTCCATTGTTCTCTTACTGTGACGTCATTTTATCCTTGGTTACAACAACTGATTTGCGATTTCGTAACTTTACGAAGTTTCTGTCAATGGCCCCCTGGTTATCAGATTTGGTCCAAATTTTATCAGCCTTATGGGCATAGAACCTCTACTTGAGGGCGTAGATTTGACATAGAATAGCTACTGCCTGGTTATTTCTAGTATAATGTAATATTCAAAATAATGAGTATGTTGATAAAATATGTTTTGTTTGTTAACATTTGTAACTCCGGAGAGTTACTGTTTTCTTGTTCAATTCATTAATGGGGGGCATCATATTACAAGGATATAGTGGTCGACTACCATTCAGTTTTAGTCATTTAGTTCAAGTGTCATTAGTCAACAGGTGCTAGGTTGGGCAAGATAACATGGAGTGAACACGGAAAAATTACCAGAACTTCAATATAGGCCTAGCTTGTCTGGTCTTTTATCAGAATGATACCAGTTGAAGTGTTATTGGTAAATAAAATGTATTATATTGTTTTAATAAAAGATTGTGAAACATTTAATGAGGAAGTTTGCTGTATCTCTAGTTTGATGAGAATGATCACATATATTTACATAAAATTATGGAAACGTTTTGAATGCTGGAAATATTTATGTTTAAGAAAACAGTAATGAGTCAGTAATTTGACAAAATACCAACACCTGGTATCTTATTGCAAATGGCAGTTTTCTTACATCAAAAATGTGAAGATCTATTATATATAAGTGGATAAAAAGTGACAATAACGTAAACCTTTTATTATTTTCGGTAGCCTAATGTACCATTTACAAATGGTTTCTGTTCAGTAATTAGAGCTACAGATCCTCAACGTTTCTCATAAAATGTTACATGTTATTTTATCTAGAGTGCCTTTAGGCGGTTGTAAAAATTGTTGTTAAATTATAATTTACATAGAACGAAATAAAGAACAAATAAATTACAATATCAATTGGACTATTTTGAATATATTTGTTGGGAAAGCCAAACAAATGATGGTACTATCGTATGTTAAGACAATTCGCACCTGAAACCTGAACATTAGCTATTATCAGGTATGAGAATGCAAATATTTTGATGACGTATTTTTGAAATGTCATTGTGACGAATATTTGATTCCAGTTTGAACTTAGAATACACGACAAACACCATTCTTCTTGCTTTTCATAAAATATCAGTCACATTTATTCACAAGTTATTAACACTGAAATATTGTCCTTCACTTTTAGAACATTTAAATGTTTCTGATTCTGAATTCAAACATGAGCATGCATACAGGATTATTAGGATCTCCCATCCAATCAAATTGCAGCTTAGCCATGCTGTAATTCTCAATAAATGAAATATTGTTCATTATGCAATATGCACCCAGGCATCTACATTGTCTTAAGTGATGTCATAATGCAGTAAAGGAGTTGTTTCTGTCATGGATTTCTATCCCCATTTTTCCCCATTCTACTAATGATAAGCCATTCAACATATGTTGCCCCCATCTTCGGATCATGCTTTGTACTGACATTCTGTCCAACTCGGGCCAAATTGAATGGCATATGATTATTCTTGAAATAAATTTCACATTGCTAGAAAAATTAACTTGTGAGTGTTTATATGTAGACTGACATCATGTCCACTTATGTATTTTTACATATTTGTCTGTCAAGCAAGCTAATAGGTTGGAATCATTCACAGTAAAGTTACAACAGTCTATAGGTGGCGCTTGAGTGCAGAGCCTCTGTTTCAAACTGTCTGTTGATGTATCAAATATCAAAGCAGCCATCCCAGCCTCATCTCCTACACACAGTAAATTATTATTTGGTTGATTTGGATGCGGAAATATTGATGATTTAGCCAAGGATTTTTGTGTTTTTCCTCCATAAAATGTGCGATCCAATTGACTTGAAATGATGTTCAAGCTAACATTTTCTGCATACAGGTGACACAACTGAAAGTACAGATACATAAGATTTATTGACAGATTCATTATCAGATTAAGTTCAGATCCCTTCCATGGTCTTCACCACTATCTCCCTCCTTCCTGCCCTCGTTGAACCAATGACTTGACACCTCTTATTCTTAGCCAGAATCCCCCAGATAGCCACATTGTACTAATGTTGTTCTTAATTAGCTCATGTTAGATATATTGTTATCATTAAGCTTGGCCTATAATGCCTTTTTGGCGATTGGCAAGCCATCTGATGTGAAATAAGATTTATGAAATAAGTAGATTACCATATAAAAAAAAATCAGATTAACAAGACACACAGTGATAAATATTGCACTTTGAAGAGCAAAATGGTCACCATGTAATTGACCCAGCATACATGCAACAGAGGAGAAGTGTTTACCTTATGTGTGACAGATGAGTGTTGATCTAATAATTGTGACAGAGGAGAAGTGTTTACCTTGTGTGACAGAGAAGTGTTTACCTTATGTGTGACAGCGGAGTGATGACCTAATATGTGACACATGAGTGTTTATCTTATGTGTGACAGAGGAGTGCTTACCTTCTGTGTGACAGATGAGTGTTTGCCTTATGTGTGACAGAGGAGTGTTTACCTTATGTGTGACAGAGGAGTGTTTACCTTGTGTGTGACAGAGGAGTGTTTACCTTATGTGTGACAGAGGAGTGTTTACCTTGTGTGTGACAGAGGAATGTTTACCTTATGTGTGACAGAGGAGTGTTTACCTTGTGTGTGAAAGAGGAGTGTTTACCTTATGTGTGACAGAGGAGTGTTTACCTTATGTGTGACAGAGGAGTGGTTACCTTATGTGTGACAGAGGAGTGGTTACCTTGTGTGTGACAGAGGAGTGTTTACCTTATGTGTGACAGAGGAGTGTTTACCTTGTGTGTGACAGAGGAATGTTTACCTTGTGTGTGACAGATGAGTATTTACCTTATGTGTGACAGCGGGATGTGTAGTTGTAGGCCTACAACTAACCAAAAACTGCCTGCTGCTTTCACCATATGCCACATTGGTTATATTACCTGAAAGCGTAATAAATGGTACAATTCTTGGTTTAAGTGGTTTGCCAAACAATATGTCGTCAATATGGCAATAATAAAAAGAGATGTCTGAGAATCTATTGTAACATTGAATGTACATTGGTAAATCAAACAGATTGTATTAACTTAGCCGTATAAACACAGCTCTGATAAAATACATGTATTTAAAATATTGTCTGATGTTGGGGTTCTTCATTCCAATAAAACCTAAAAATATCAATCATTTAAGGAAAAGTATATGGTAGTTCACCCAAATGTATTGGTACTGGTTATTGGCAACTAACATGAGGTAATAGGCAGTTTTCATTTGTCTGCAGTTGTTGAAATAATAGACAGCAAACCAAAAACAATATAATATAAAATTGTGACATAAGCAAATAGAAAGTGACATAATATCTAAAAGACTGACCTTTAACTGGCAGAATATGAAGTTTATAGTCTGTATGTGATGATGTTCTTCCTTCATAGAAGCTACACTTGTTTAGCTGTGCCACAAGAAGTCCACTCCTGTTGAAAGACATGAACATAAACTTACTTGTAATATTCTAAATGCTCATAATATGTATATAATGCATACAATTTATAGTGATATTCTGTCAACTAATGATATGACAGTAGAGAAAATTCTTGTTCATTATTACTTTTAAATTATTAAATTTTAAATTTATCGCTTTTAAATTTCAAACCCACTGCTTGGGATTTACTAGTATTTTTCTTTTAAGTAATCTAAAAATTTACATCTTTCGAAAATTTAACTGGGACTAGAAACAAGACTTCCTTCGAGCTTTTTCACCTCAGGCCAGTTCACCCTACAGCCCAATCAAACAGTTCTGCTGTAGTTATAAACATTTTGATAAGGAAGACATAACTGGTGGCAAAAAGCTTCCAAAGTTTCACTTACCCAGAAGACACCTCCCCTGCCACAGGTGCACTCCCCTTAGGAACATATTGGAGTGATACAACTGGTGACCTGCTTCCCTGTGCATCAAAGCTTTCTACCCTATTGGTTGTATTTCTAACATCATATATGTTTACTGAGCCATTGGAAAGTCCAGTGTAGAAATACTTGGGGTCATCCTTGTTCCAGCAACAAGACCATACTGGCTGGCTACATTCATACCTGCAATAAGACCATCTCAGTAGAATAAAATATTTTTATACTGTATTTTGAAAACTTAGTAAATTCAGCCTCACACTCTCATGTACATAAAAGTTGAATTACAAATTAGTGTGACCAGTGTCACTATTTTTGGTATGGATTATCAAAATTATCAATTCAATGATACAAGCTGTTAAGCTCGTTTTCCACTAATTCTTGGGCCCTCAGAAAATCAAAGAAGACTGGAATCTTTTCTCCCCATTTGGACATACCAAAAAATACTATAATGAAAAAAACGCTTGTATATTGTCATTCTTTTGCTATGCTCACTTGTGGAGCTGTTCCATATCAAAACATAGGATATCCTCAATTTATACTATACCTTTGAACAGGTGTATTGCTAACAAGACTGGTCAGTTTGACTGTCTTGTCTGTTGAAGCACTGAGCATGAGAGAGCCACTACTGAAGGAGATATCTCTGATGACATTACTGTGAACAGCCACATATTCACAAGTCTTCATATCAAGCATATTCACCTGGATTAAAATATGCTTATTTTACAAATACAATGTGAAGAGTAACATAGCACATTGTATTCGAAAATGTGCATTTAGCCAGTTTCAATCTGATTTGCAATAAATTGCAACTACTATTTATTTGTTATTTGACCTCACAGCGAATTATTCATTGGAAGGAGAACCTTGACTGTCATTACTAGTGAGGGCTGGAAATAAAATCATACTCCTATAGGTGTCATGACTGCAACCTTGAAATGAACATGTTATTTGTGTACATCGACTGTGATGCGTAAATCATTGGAGATATTATTGTACGTTAATGTAGAAAGTATGATTCTTAATTACATTTCAGAAACCCTTAAACAGAGGCATAACTGAACATGTACAGTTACTTGAATGCTGTAAAGTTTGTTTCAAGGCAAACTACTCACTTTTTTTACTCCAAATCCAGGAAAGAGGGCATTAGTGCTTGGCTGTGTAACAACCAGAGCTCCAAGGTCAGCACAGTAGCCACATACTCTACAATTCCCAATCTAAAACAAAACAAATTTTGGGTTATGAATTTGTTACAGGAGGAAGTACTGTTTGCATGGAGATAAACTGAATTCAGCCATCATCTGATTAAAATATCTTAAGTGACAACTGCAATGATAACTTTCTATTAATTTATTTTCAAGTTAAATGATTTAAAACAACAGGCAAAAAACGGCAGTCACATTTTACACAATGCATATTGTCTTGGAAATATTGCCAAACAATTCAACGTCAAGTTCCCAAGTACAGTGTATTTGTATATAAAATTAAAATATTGCGTCATTATTTCATTTTTTTAGATATACAAGAATCTGTAAATAAAATGTACTCTAAATCTTACCTCTGATATTTTGATTGATTTTATCAGCTTAAAAGATGATTGGTTATCTTGAGATGACTGGTTAGTCAGAGTTGAATGTCTTGGATTCCTCACTTGTATGCCATGAAGATCACCATGGGCCTCAACTGCTTTCTTCATTTCTGGTACTTTCCTAGTGATAAAAGGGAATGTCATTTCATTACTTTTGTTGGAGAATGGCTATGAGAAAACCCACAAAGTTGGGCTGTTTAAGATATCATGTTTTGGGAGAAATGTTCATAAAACATCAAGCTTCTCAACAAAAGTTATTTTCATATTGATAAGAAAAAAGATTTTAGACTCCGCTGTTGATGAATTGCACTGGCTGATACAATAGCTAAAGTGTAAGCTGTAGTCAACTTACTGTACAATGGCTAGTTGCTGCTGCTGCCTGTTAACCTCAGCCTTTAGTTTATTACACTCCTCCATTGCAAGCTGATATTGGATTTTTGCTTGGGCTGTCTCAAGCTCTATCAGGCGTCTTCTTTCCTTCTCTTGTTCTAACTCACGTAGAGCCTCATCTCTAGCACTTGTGTCCAATTGCTGGAAATGAAGCACAAGAACATTTACTCATACTACTGAGAATTATCATTCCATGTTTACATTTGTATGTGAAATATAGAGGAGCATTTAAGCAAAAATGATGAAAAAATGATGATCTCACCTGACAGAAATGGAGATCATGTTTCACAGCAAGTTTATAGGACGAAACTACATTGTGCTTTCTCAAGGAAATTGATTGAACCTTTTACAGACAACAAATATTCAAGTGTGTAAATAGAAGAAATTTGCTGAAAAACAACATTATTTTCTACCATTGAATTTGAAGGATAGAGAAATTCACTACCTCCCAATCAAACTTTACTTTTTAACTTTAAGGATAATTGTACAAACCACTTGGAATGTTGTTCAATAATCATGTTTAAACTAGATATAATGGCAATTACCTTTACAGATTTAGCATATAGCAAAATTATGTCTGCTTTCTTAGCCTTCTTGTTGCATTGTGGACATGTACCTTTGCTCTTGATCCATTTCAAGATACAACTGAAATGAAGGAAGCCACTTAGCAGACATAGAGGCAGATGGCTCAATCAGATATCATTTAAACCCAACAGTTTCAACATGGATTTACATATCTAAAATTGTGGAATAAAATTAATTAAATATACCCTTGAACAAGCTGCAAAGCAAACTTACCTATTTCCAAATAAATGTCCACACTTTAAAGTACACAACCTGTGTTCTCCTGAGTTGGTCCAAGCCTCAAAGCATATTGGACATGTCTAAAACGAAAGACAAGAAAATATCATGCATGTCTAAAATGAAACAAGAGAACATTGGATATGTCTGAAATGTAACAAGAGAATACTGGACATGTCTAAAATGAAACAAGAGAAAATTGGGCATGTCTAAAATGTAACAAGAGAATATTGGACATGTCTAAAATGTAACAAGAGAATATTGGGCATGTCTAAAATGTAACAAGAGAATATTGGACATGTCTAAAATGAAACAAGAGAATATTGGACATGTCTAAAATGAAACAAGAGAAAATTGGACATGTCTAAAATGTAACAAGAGAATATTGGACATGTCTAAAATGAAACAAGAGAATATTGGACATGTCTAAAATGTAACAAGAGAATATTGGACATGTCTAAAATGAAACAAGAGATAAAATTGGACATGTCTAAAATGAAACAAGAGATAAATTGGACATGTCTAAAATGAAACAAGAGATATTATTGGACATGTCTAAAATGAAACAAGAGATAATATTGGACATGTCTTAAATGGTAACACAAGGCAAAACAGGATGTAAGGTGTGCCCAGATATTAAAATATTAAGAAGATATTAAAACCTCCTTCAAAGGTTAGCATGCTGAACATTTTTGGTCTGCTCCTTTAATGAAATGACGTTTCCACAAAAATGCAAAGTAACATATAATATGATCAAGGTGATATTAAACATAATAGTTATGATCTTACTTCAGATTCATCATCTTGAACTGGAGAGCCTTGATTAAGTCCTGATCCTGATGGTTCAGGTGTAATACATCTTTGTGGAGGCCTTTCTTCCTGGCATGTCAAGCTGGTACTGCTGGCAGATGGGGTAGCTAATGTCAAAGTTGACCCACTTATGGTTGAACTGACAATTGATGCACTTGCCATTGATGCACTTGCAGTTGAGTTACTTGTAGTTGATGCACTTACAATTGAGGCACTTACAGATAAGGTACTTGAAGTTGATGACAAACTTAAAATTGAAGAAGTAGTTTCTGATACACTAGATTGTGCTCTCATTTGTTGTAGTCGTTCCTCTATTCTCTTTTGTACCTGAAATTGTATCTGTCTTTCTCTTCTTCGCTTTTCTGCTATTTTCAGTTCTTCCTGTTGTCGTTTTGTAAGACGTTTTTCTTTCTTTTTATTTGGGGGTTGCTGAAGCTGAAGACCTATGGTTCTGCTACCCAAAGTCAGTTGCTGTTGTAAATTTCCTGGATTCTGTGGTGCTATTGACCCTGATGGATGGTTTAAGTTAGATACAGATTGAGCGACTGAGTGTTGGGGAACTGGGGGTAAAGGTATATGTAATGTTTCATATTCTGGCCTTATCTCCATTTGTTCAAGATCATTATTCCTACTCAAATCAGTTTCAACCTGAATAGTATCTTCCAATGGTGGCTGTTGTCTAGGTATATTATTGTCTGCTTCAATAGCAGTATGATTCTCAGCAGTAGCAGCAGTTGTCCTTGTTGGAGATGCTGACTGCACTTCAGTTATCTCTGAGTCAGCTATAAGTTCAATATCACTATCACTTCCATCATCCACAATCTGCAACAAAAAGAGACACTTATATCTGAATTTAGAATGCTCTTTCCTCATCCATCTAACATGAGAATGAACATATTAATTTTCTCAAATAAGCAACATCAGTATTATCTGACTAGAAAATTTAAAGGATTGCTTTATGTACATAAATGGTGAGGTCACAGGGTTAATCTTATCAGAGATGTTCACACATTAGTTTACTATCAATGTGTTGAAAGTCTGTCACGTTCACATTCAATCATTACTGGTTCTTAATCATATGAATAAAGTCAAGTTCACAGTTGGTGGTTCTTACCAGAGTTGGAGGTCTGACCAGTTCAGATTCAATCATTACTGGTTCTTAATCATATGAATAAAGACAAATTCACAGTTGGTGGTTCTTACCAGAGTTGGGGGTCTGACCAGTTTACATTCAATAATGATTACTGGTTCTTAATCATATGAATAAAGACAAATTCACAGTTGGTGGTTCTTACCAGAGTTGGGGGTCTGACCAGTTCACATTCAATCATTACTGGTTCTTAATCATATGAAAAAAGTCAAGTTCATAGTTGGTGGTTCTTACCAGAGTTGGGGGTCTAACCAGTTCACATTCAATCATTACTGGTTCTTAATCATATAAATAAAGTCAAGTTCACAGTTGGTGGTTTTTACCAGAGTTGGAGCTCTAACCAGTTCACATTCAATCATTACTGGTTCTTAATCATATGAAAAAAGTCAAGTTCACAGTTGATGGTTCTTACCAGAGTTGGAGGTCTGACCAGTTCAGATTCTATCATTACTGGTTCTTAATCATATGAATAAAGACAAATTCACAGTAGGTGGTTCTTACCAGAGTTGGGGGTCTAACCAGTTCACATTCAATCATTACTGGTTCTTATGAATAAAGACTAATTCACAGTTGGTGGTTCTTACCAGAGTTGGAGGTCTGACCAGTTCAGATTCAATCATTACTGGTTCTTAATCATATGAATAAAGACAAATTCACAGTTGGTGGTTCTTACCAGAGTTGGGGGTCTGACCAGTTCACATTCAATCATGATTACTGGTTCTTAATCATATGAATAAAGACAAATTCACAGTTGGTGGTTCTTACCAGAGTTGGGGGTCTGACCAGTTCACATTCAATCATTACTGGTTCTTAATCATATGAAAAAAGTCAAGTTCACAGTTGGTGGTTCTTACCAGAGTTGGGGGTCTGACCAGTTCACAATCAATGGTCTCATCCTCTCCATCTTCAACTGCAATAACACTTAACTCTGATGTACTCATCCTATCTCAAATCTCATTTTACACACTTCAATCTGAAAGAAAATCAACAAAAATGCAAAGTTAAATCTACAAATAATATATAGCTGGGAAGCATGACAAAATGACAACACTAGGTAACCAATTGCAAATAATTGCCAATCAGCCCCAACCAAAGTCACTGAGCTTTGAAAAAATTTGGTCTTAAAGATGTCATTTTAAAAGCAAAAAAGGCTCCAAAACGTAATAAAATATGTAGTTTGGATGTTCATTTATGTCTGTGGATTATATTTTATACCACAAACACTTATAAATACCTGAAATTTGCAATAAAAGTGCCCAAAAATTGTTGTTTCGAAATTCCCCATTTTTCCTGTATCGCGCTAGTCACGTGACCCTTACGCGTAGCAGGCAATGCCTAGTATTACAGATATTACAGTACATATTTCAACATGTTCAACATGGCAAACATCAGCGATTCTGACTCCCGGGTTCTGGGAAATGGCTATATATAAATCGGCGAGAGGGTGTTATTTAAGGAGGTCAATTTAAGGAGGGGAAATATGTCCAAGTATGCCAGTAAAAGAGCAGATATGGACTTTAGACAAGTACTATGACGTTACTCACGTCGAGAGCTACCATGTTAGATTTTGAAAGTATAGCTCTCTATCGCTAGGATCAACAGCTTAAGAATCCTGACTTCAAAGAAAATTTCAGGGAATTCAGCTGACTCATGTTGCACATTATATACCTGAAAATGTATCCTACATCGCCATCTTTCATTCAGCTCAACTATAGAACGTCCCACTGCCCTATGTATCGATCAGGACTTCATTTTATTGGTCGTATCAAAAGTTTTGGCCAGGTATATTCAATATGGCGGCTTGACGTTTCCAAAGTTGCGCATGCGTCGATAGTATTTCCGTTTAACCGCCATATTGGAAATGGGTATCGAACAAAAAACGATTAGAACTCCTGATCGCCATAGAAGCACATCTGCGATCCTACATGCACGGGGAAAGTAGACACATATGAGCCCATATGTAGGCTACAGTTTGAGACAAACAGCAAGCCGTTGACTGGCGCTGATCAAATTAAGATGTTACAATTCTTCAGCTGGGAGATCCTCACGATGGAGAGCTATACTTTCAAAATCTAAGTAGCTCTCGACGGGAGTAACTATGACGGAGAATCAACTAAAAAAATGTGCGTTCTGGAATGGAGACCCGTTGCCATTGACTGAGAATCCCAGCGATCCTATAATCCTACTCAGTTTGAATTTAGACGCGGAAAACAGGTTATGAAAACGGGCTCTCTGCAAAGTTATCAAATTTAGAAAATATGGATCTTGTTTTTGAGTGGCTTAACAAGCATTCGGATACAAGACTTGGCGCTATCTCTTGTCAAATACACGCAGACTTGCAGTAAATTGGCCATTGCAAATTGCAAAATCAGATCGTCAAATTAATCGCTTCGTTTTTAAACGTATGCTTCATATCTTCATCCAAAACTTTAGGATTCGATAGAGATAAGTTAAAACTTGTACAGGAAGAAATGGGAGATCCTACCTTAATTTAGAATCGCTGATTTCTCTGGACAAATTCCGAGAAGAAATTGTTCAACATCGCGATCAGCTCAGACTAAACTTACATGTCGTGCATGTCACTCTGAACTCACGTGATAAAATACGGCATTTTGATTGGTTACTACTAGTGTTGTCATGACGCGAAAAACAATAGTAAACACTGAATATGTTAATGAACTGTCATATATGGAGCAATTGTCTTTCTGATTGGTTAACTTTACACGCCTCCTAAATGAATATAGTAGTCGTAGTAAATGATTCATTGATAACTCTGAAAGTGGGCGTGACCAGCTTTATTTTGACACCAAATTCAAGATGTTTCAAATAAAAATGGCCTCGCAAGACGAGGTTGAAATATCGGCAGTTTGATACTGATATGGTCTACGATAGATCAAAATTGACTGCCCCGCGTCATATGTCACGTGAGCCTATATTTGTTGAAAAATGAAAGAGATAGTGGCACTTTTTAATCTTAAGTTAATACCAATATTACAAACACATATCTATTTTTTTCATTAAATATTTATTTCTTCATTATACATACATTTGTTTTACACTGCATTGATTTATTTTTCCAAAACCTTTGCTATTAGATCTTTAACATGAAAACTGTAATCACCTTGTGAAATACATCCATCCTGAATTTTTTTTATCTCCAGCTAACAATAACTTTACTAAATAAGACTTCACTGCTGCTTTATACAGGGTGTCAAATAAGTCCCGTCCCCCCTGCTACAGCTAAAACCTTAACAGACGGTACCTAGTGTGATATACCATTGGAAAGATCATCCAAAGTTATGTTAACTCACCAACTCTCAAGTATTTTGGATGGAATTTACCTATATTTTTATGATGTCTTTTATAGTTAACTACTCCTTTAAGTAGCTTTTTTGCGTCAAAATGACAAGGATATGATTTCAGAAATAAGTCAAAAAGTTAATCTTCTTCGCATTCCACTTGTTACAAAAAAGTTTTCACCACTTTCCTTGCACCTCTATTTTCTACATATCTAACCCTATCCAGAAATTGGTTAAATTCACTGCCATAAACATATTAAGTCATCTTTTGGTCTCTTGACCTTTCTTATACTCGATTCTTAAAATCCTGCCAAATACGCCAAATTGCCATGTTTCTAGGCATATGGTCACCACAATTGATACAATGTAAAAATTTGTGAGATTGATTGACATGTGTCAGATATTTGCCAATCAACGTAACTTTGGAAGACCTTTCCAATGATATATCACACTTGGTACCAAATATCTTGGTTTTCTCTCAAAAAACTTTCTATTAGATTTTTTAAAAAAGGTGCTTTCCGGTAAATTATAAAAATTGTTAGTTTTTTTGGTAGATTTTCAAAGAAATGTCATTTTTCTGGTAGATTTTTGAAAGAACTATAGTTGAAAAATCTATCATTCTTTGAAAAATTTAATGGAAAAACTATACTACTTTTTCCAAAAATGATTTTTCAAAGAACAGTTAGTTATTATGGTAGATTTTACAAAAAAACTAGTTTTTTGGTATTTTTTCAAAAAAAGTTTTTCCAGCAGAAATTTTCAAAAAAGGTAGTTTTCCCATAGACTAAAAAATGTTTGTTGTTTCATTTTGAGGATTTTGCACTCATAAATTCACAGGCAGATCCAAGGGGGTCCATGGGGCCCAGGCCCCCTCCTCCATGAGTGGGCCCAGAAAAAAAATATTAGGCTGAAATTTTTTTTAGGCCTCAATTAGTAGGGTTTTTTTTGTGCATAACTTGGCCTTTTGGCCATGTAAAAATTGAAGAATGATATGGCAAAAATTTAGAAATAAGTCAATTTTTGGACTGACGAGGAGCATGACACACAGGAAGTTCTATCAAGTCCTTTCAGTTATGGCCCATGCAGACCTGTCAACTTGTGAATACCTAACATGAGTAACTTACAAATGTTAATTAAACACCTTTCTTCAAATAGTGGACACCATGGTCAAAATGTGAATACCTTGGCCCACAGTTTGAACCCCTTGGTTAAAATTTTATTGCATTAAAATCAAATTTTGGACTCTTCAAAATTTTTGCTTTCAGAAACTCTGTCAACGCGAGGGGTAGGTACGAAATGCGAGGGGTAGGTACGAAATGCGAGGGGTAGGTACGAAATGCGAGGGGTAGGTACGAAATATTCCTTTGAAAATGTGTGACATAAACGGTATCTGCGTTCATTATTTTTGACATTCGTTTTTTGCTGTATCGATGATCACTTTTTGAAGTTTTTCTACAGAAATATTTTTGCTTGACAATAATCAGGTAATATGAGTATTTGGGTGACATATTCTGTCACGCAAAAAAAATGGCGTAACTTCAAATTTTCCAGCAAATGCGTGAAAAATACGCAAATTGCGGGACAGTTGGACGGCCTGGGCCCATGGGGTAATATTGCCGTCCTCAGTGGATAAAGTCTATACTGAGGATGAGGACGCCAATAGAACTCCATATGGGACTGAAAAGCACAGGCAATGGAACATAGAAATACCCCCCCCCCCACTCTCTGTATATAAGTAAATAAATTCTGTATTTATTTACTTACATACAGAGAGTGGGGGGGGGTTATTTCTATGTTCCATTGCCTGTGCTGAAAAGGATATGAGACAACTTCCTATGGCATGAAATATTTTCAAATATTTTAGCGCTCGAAAAGAATTAGAAAAAATCTAGATCTAGATCTACAAACATTGATATTAGATTTGGAAAGGCAGAGAAACAATCTGTTAAATAAAATCGTGCTATAAGGTGTGGTTAGTATAAAGACTACGCATCTAATAACAAATTGCACCACATAAAGCACTTATATCTAGAGATATCGTCGTAAAAAAACTTACCGATATTTGATTTTTCTTTTTCAAACTTCGTCGATCATTTCGTTCGGTCCAATTCAATCCATCCCGGGGAACCCCATACCGGGCACCTTTTCCTTTTCCCCCTCTGAAGACTCCTTAAATGTACCCTGTAACATCAAATTCTCCATTTTTATAAAATTCACTGACCCTAGCTTTAGTTAACACCAATGCCACCATTCAATAACCGATTTCAACTTTCTGTTACAGCCACGTTCATATTCTGAAAACTTGTCCCGTTCGGTTTTTCTTTGACTAACTATTCAGGTCTATATCATTGATTATTAGCTCATTTTATAGAACCACATTTTCCTTTATATTATGGTTCAAATTATCTATAAGATAAAAAAAATATCACAGAAATCAATTTTCAAAGCGGTTTATATGGAAATATTAAGAGTAAACTTACTTCAGATCAATGTTTGGAATTGATCAATAAGACTTGGTCAGAGCTCCAACATGGCGCAAAATGGCGATTGGTACGAAAAGCAAAGTTCACACCAAAAGGTAATAAAACCATGTTTGTTTTCGGTATAGTAACGTTGAATAGGAACTATCAATATATTGCATGTTTTTTTCATCCAAAAATTTGAACAAATTCATCACCACAAAGACATAAGAGGAAAAGTATCTTTATATACGAAAATTGAAACCCGGAAGTGCTTTGAACCTGGTTGTAAAGTTGAAGATAAACGAGAAAGGGTGTCGACTTTTGGCAATCAACCGAAGATACCTCAAGAAAAGCCTGAGATTGCCGAAGATTGCCGAAGCTTTTCTTTGCAAACGGAGTTGGCCGAGGGTACAACGAATGTGAAGAGGACGTCTCCAATTGGTCAAAAATAGAGGCTCGGCATTCTCCGTCAGATTGAATCGGCAAAATTCGGTTGTAAGGCTTACCTTCGGTTGTATGGCTTACCTTCGGCTGCATTGCCCAACCTCGATTGATTGGAAAAGATGCTGTCCTAAACGAGAAAGTTCAAGGGGTAACCGGACAACTCATCCCTGGACATCCCCTAGATTTACGCGAGTCTCTAGCCAAATTACTTGGCTAGAAGACCTAGCATGTGGACCACCGTGCACTAGTAAAAATGATCATTCAGAGTAAAAATAAAGTTATGTGTTATTTTAAAAATCATAATGATTGCAAGCTTTCGTCTAAAATTAAATCTCCAAGAAAAATGGCGAATGTTCAACGATAATGACAAAAACTGGACGAACATGTCGTTATGTCTGACATAATAGCTGGCTGTAAATTCAAAGTATCGATCTAAAAGACTTGAACTAATACACTGATCACTTCCTGTGTTTTGAAAGTTTTTGTGAGGTAACAAGACCAAAATTGGCAATTCAAATTGTGAAGTGAAAAAATGGCAGCTGGTTGATTTCAAATTTTATGATCATGACATGCCTCTTATAAGGCAGAACAAAACATACAGGGATTTATGCATGGCGTAAGGCTGCAATATAATGGAAGCCTTAGACTAAGGTAACCTTAGATAACTTATCCCCTGGACAACTTATCTCCTGGACAACTCATCCCCTTGACAACTCATCCACACAAAGCTAAATTGTTAAGTATTTCTAATAAAGAAGTATTAAATAGATATACCTTTGATCATTCAAAATATTATTTTTCACTTTATTTACACAAAATTATGAAAGTACTTATTTGATATCAGTCAAACGGTGCCAGTAAAACTCCCCATCTCTTGTCCTTATGACATGACTCAATATTTCGTGACAAAAAATAAGGGTTTCTTTCTGCATAACTTGGAAACTATATGAGCTTTAGTAACTTCATCTGTGAATGCTGTGAAAGAATAATCTTTGAATTAAAGAATATTTGAGCTATGAACAACAAACATATTTATGACATCAAAGGAGCTTCTTTAATCAATGTTTTTTTGTTTTTTTTAGTTTTAGAAAATATATCTTTATTTCAAAATCACAAAAGGTAATGAAAATGTACATGGGTGGGTTGACACTTTTAGCAAGTGTTACTTCCCAATATTCAAAATAATCATAAGTGACTTCTTTAGCTATAAGTAAGTTTTTTCTCTTTAATTGTCACAGGCTTGTGTGTCAGTGTCCCATATGGTGGCATTGATGAAACTGATTGTTTCATGAACATTTACTTTTCCGCTTCATTACATTTAACCAGATCCATCCTAGTATATATGCCAGGTGGAATGCTTTGGTATAACTAGCTGGATATAACAGTATGGTACATTCCGAGAAACTTCAATCTGATATTCATCACATCGATCTATTTTTCGTAGTCTTGCTTCAAGATTGTGGACACCCCCCCCCCCTCGTAGTCTTGCTTCCCCCCCCCCTGGACAGCCATTTGATTTTTTTCTCTACTCTGACTTTCACATCTGCTTGATCGAGTGTAAGATCAAAACAATTTTAAATATAAATTGGATTTATGACTACGAACCGGTCTATGACAAAGCATTTTGGACTAAAATTATCTGTCTACAGCTGTCTGTTTTGACTACGACAGATCGAGGGTGTGTGACGTTCTGACACCAGCGTTTCTGTATATAGAACTTTGACATCATCTTGATCAAAAGACAACATCCATAATTAGCATACATTGAACAGAGATCACGATAGTTGAAAAAACTTGTTAGCCATTGTGGCTAAATCTTTCAAAATTTTATATGAATTAGCCATTTTGAAAAACCGTAAAAAAGGGAATTCGCAATAGAGGTGTCACGGTCCAAGAAAATTTCAGTACGGTACGGAACAGTACAAATGGTCTCAACACGTTACTTTCGGGACGGGACGGGACAGAACATTAAAAATGATGCAATGTCTGATGATGACAGTTTCACTTTCAGTTTCACTTTTCAAAATCATATTCAGAAATAAAAAAACGTCCATTAAAATTGAATGTAAAGCATCTGCCGCGAATGTGATCGGCATTTCACATAGTCTGCACGGTGTAATATCACCAATTCGTTTACCTTGTGATATCGGAGTCCAAAAATACTTCCAAACTGCCGACTTTTTCGACTTAGATGCCGGCTCGATTTTTCAATTTCTTTCCTACATCCGGCATACTGATAATGCACACGATTTGCGAAAACGATGAAGAAATTTACGAACAAGCATTACCATCTACCTGAAATCGCGTAACACTTTTCAATGCAAAGAAGTGTAATCTAGGTACGAGGTAAGTGAAAATATTTAATTTTTCAGAACGAAATCGGAGGTGTTCCTCGCTATTTATACACGTTTTTATGCATTTTAGGGAAGGAATCTATGTACCGATATTAACCCTTTCTGTCCCATGTCCCGAACCGAAGCATCTGGACCGAAATTCGGTCCAATATCGGGAAACCGTGACACCTCTAATTCGCCATAACTGCGAAATACCTTTACATATTTTTCGCCAGCTCTTTCGAAAATTCGCAATTGGCGAATGGCGAACGTCTACCGTGATCTCTGCATTGAAATACGATTGCCACCCAAAGATTTATTTATTTATACTCAATAACCTCTTCAAGTATGTTGGCCCATCACCAAAGCAGTTGTATTTGTACATATACAGTGATACCTGTCTTTAATCAATGTTAATATACTATTGATTCATTGTGGACTATTTTGAGACAATATTAGTTTAGTATGAGGTGGAAAGTAGTGACTTCTAGATATATCGAGAGAATGCATCGATTTACATAATGTACATGTTTATGAAAAGCATTGATATTCACTGGTCGAATGTATGAGAATTGTCAATCACTTGTCAGTGAGGTAGTTTATTTAATTTATCACGTGACGTTTATGTGAAAAAATCTACCTGCGCCCATTGAAAATTAACAATTGAATTATTAACTTACATATTACCATATATATTTCTGTGTGTGTGCATTTATGTACAAATCTGGTATAAAATGCATGCAATTAGAATAACAGTGAAGTTATACCATTTGTCTAAATACATATAGAGTAATCACCCTTTGCATGTTTTCAGATGGACAGCTCAGCAGTCATTGATATGGAAGTGATGAGTGATGATGCGTCAGACTATGAAGTCAATCTTGATGATAGCCATAGCAAACAGTCCCATCAGCCAACAGCGTCAAATCTCATGACAGATGCTAAGCAGGCAATGGCTGCAAATGTTGGTTCTTATGTAAGTACATGTTTAGGGTGCCTTAACACGAATGATTAAGACTAATATCCACGTTCTTCAATGTATGAAACCTTGAAACTCTTAGTTTTAAAATGATTAATGGGACCCTCATTTATTCAGTCTGTTCTTAATAAGGACAATAAAGGGAATTTTGATCTCATATCACTATTTGTCAAAAGCGTTGAAGTAAAAAATTATTTTGACTTTTTTCTTGTATGGTGGTGCAAAAACATTATTTTTGCCAGGTGTGGCAGACCGGGAGTCAGCAGGCTAGGAAAGCTTTCAGTATCTATGGCAACATTGATATTCTGCGTCCATACTTTGATGTTGAGCCTCACCAAGTGCGCAGTCGACTGATTCATTCTCTCATTCCAGCTTATAGAACCACTCAAGTAAGTCTGATTGAAAAATAGGAAATATTTTACTGTAAATATGGAATTTGCTTCATATGTACCATAATTTACTCTGAATGTGTTGCATTAAAGTCATAGTACAACAAAGATGGGTAGTTTTTGGCTCACACAGTGAGCCTATGGGATCGACCAGGCATCCGTCTGTTGGTCCATCCATCTGTCCGTCAACATTGGCCGCACAAATTAAAACTGCTATTCGGATTGAGTCATATCCACATTCATTTTATGCATATCCATAATGCCAGTAACTGTTTGACCTATCATCGCCATTTCTCAAGTTCGCCCGGTTTCCGAGAAATTGCCTATTTTGACGTCAAAAAGTCAAATTTTCTGTAAATACTAGACACTTTGTTGAAGTAGAACTTTCAAATAACTTGGAGTAGTTGCTTTATATGCAACTTATGTCCTCTGAAGATTTCAAAGCTCTTGGAATTACAGTTTTTGGTGTTTACTCCATAAAATTTGACAAAAAGTAGGACTTGGTCATTTTCAGGAAACTTTCTCATGTATAAAGTCAATGGCCTTCAGTGACCTTCGAAAGGTCAAAAAAGTTTATTTTTCAAATTGATTTTTGGATGTAAATTTTGGTCAGCTTAATCACAAAAGACCTTACTGAGCTCTGAATGAGTAACATTTTCAAGGTCAAAGGTCATCAAACTAGGTCACACAACTGTGCTATCTAAGTTTCTCAAAGTTCGAAACTACAAATCCAAATCAATATTTTTGTTTGAAAGTCAGGATATACATTCCCCTGAAGGTTCCAAACTGTGTGAGCACAGGACCGTGGGTCCTTTATTATATGTAGCCAACAAGCCACAATGTTTAATAGCCACTGTTTATATGCCTCTAGCATTAGGAGAATAAGAAAAAGATGGTGACATTTTTGAAGGAACAGCTCATATTCATTATATTATGACAATTCAAAAATGGAGAAACACAAATCGGAGTGTAATTCACATTGTTTCAACTGTTTTCAGAAACTTCCTGGTGAGCTGTATGGACCAACCATGGTAGTATTCACCCTGATTGCTCTATTGCTCTTCCAAATGAAGTCCAGTGGACACACTGTGGTAAGTTAACACTCAACTTTAATGAAGAATAACAAAGCAAAATAATACTAACCTCATTCAAATTAAAATGCATGTATGTGTAATAGATCATGTGGCTTATAATCTGAGTAATTTACTTCACCTTGATGAATTCATATTTGATATTCACTAGAATATCAGTAACATTTTTGTGTCATAGTTACCACCCAAAATCTATTTTCATTAACTCACTGGACAAAGTTCCGTAGTAAGGGTTTTAGGCTTTTGTATTTAAGGCTGTCCATCTGTTTGTCCATTTATCCACTAGTATTTGTGTATCTTCCCTTGATCTGCTCAGTTGCTAATTGGAGAGAACATAACAACTCGTGTTGGTCAAGGTGATAACTAAAATAAAAATGGTGTACAGTTAAACTTTTCTTTGTGAACACCGCTCTCGTGAACACCTTTCTCTAGTGGACACCCTTCCTCTCTACATACTCTACTGACTCCTGTATGAATTACCTAGTGAACATCTACCAACACCGAACATTTTTTCTTGGCAAAAAGTGTTCAATATACACAGATTTTACTGTATATGGATATGTTGTTTTTTGCAGCAAGAGGGCACCTTGATGGGATCAGCATTTGCAGTGTGCTTTGGTTACTGGTTTGGAGCATCTTCATTTGTATGGTTTGTCAGCTATGTGTGCAATGCCAGGATTACTATGCTGCAGATATTCTCACTACTTGTAAGTAAACCACACTACCCTACCACGTGACCACATTTAAAAATGATACAGGGTACGGTTAAGTTGCAAATGGAGCGGGTATTCTCTATCTTTGTCCATTGGGCTTTTCTGGTAATAATACGTTGCAAACTGCTCGATGAATCTATACAATGTATAGTAGAACACTTGGAATATGTGTAAAATCTAGTATACATTCAGAACTATGGAAATAAACAAACATCCTCCATTTGCAACTTCCCTGTAGCCTGTACTTCTTTAAAAGGAATACAGGATACAGTATGGGGGTATAGTAGTGTGTAAACACACAAGTAGTATATGAAATTACAGTATGGGTTCACTTCAATCAAAGTTGTTGTTCTTTGTAAAATTATTGTTATTAGTCTATTCCAATTTAATCATCAGATCAGGTATTCTCACCACTTGTAAGTGATATGAAAATATAATAAGGGTTATTAATTTAAACAAAATTTGTTGTTTTCTATTCTTTGTAAAAAAATTTGTTATTGTTATTAGTCTATTCTAAATTGAATATAAATTCTAATGTGGAACCTGATGTAAGCTCTATTTTATGTTTATGACTATAAATCTATTTCAGGGTTATGGCTTGTTTGGCAACTGAACTTAGCCACTATATTGTGCTATTATTTTGTATTTCAGGGTTATGGCTTGTTTGGCAACTGAACTAAGCCACTATATTGTGCTATTATTTTGTATTTCAGGGTTATGGCTTGTTTGGCAACTGAACTAAGCCACTATATTGTGCTATTATTTTGTATTTCAGGGTTATGGCTTGTTTGGCAACTGAACTAAGCCACTAAATTGTGCTATTATTTTGTATTTCAGGGTTATGGCTTGTTTGGCAACTGAACTAAGCCACTATATTGTGCTATTATTTTGTATTTCAGGGTTATGGCTTGTTTGGCAACTGTACTAAGCCACTATATTGTGCTATTATTTTGTATTTCAGGGTTATGGCTTGTTTGGCCACTGTATTGTTCTGTTCCTTGGTACAGTGTTCCACACATCTCATGACCACCTTGTTTTCTATCTTCTCTGGGCTGTATTTGGTGGTCTGTCAACTTTAAAAATGGTAAGTGTATTCTGATATCTGACTTTGGGTATTATACTAGAATGAATCAAGCAACTTACAATAAGGGCATTTAGACCATTGCCCTATATAGCAACCTGTCTTTCCAAGTTCATTGCCAAGAGCAAAAAGTGATTAAGAAAAGTGTTAAATTGGAACCCTGATGCCATGTTGTATAATATGCCATACAAATGTATTATGAGACCATGCCTAATAATGCCACTACATGTATGGGAAAATATATGAACATTGTAAGCATCCTATACAGACCAAACACAGCTTAGTTAAAAAATCCCAAAATTTAAATTTAAAAAGTGACTGTTGGTTCCACACTGTGCACTCAAATATCTGAGCTGATTGTTTTTTGCAAGCTCAGTCTGTGTAGGGTGAATCAGTGATTTGAAGGATTGTTTTGTTTTGTTTTCAGATATCAGTAATTGTTCCTAAGACCACTGGGAAGACTCAGAGAATCATCATTTGCTCCGTAATTGCAGTGCTCCATCTTTTATTCCTGCTCTACTTACATTTCGCCTATCATCAAATTGTAGAAGGTTAGTGTAGGTTTCAGCCAAACCAATGTTTTTCTAATGAACTTCTGAAGTGCTACCGATAAAATACAGTACATGAAGATATTAATCACATTACACACTTAGAAATCAGAATGTGCTATGTTTAGTTAATATGTGCAATGTGCATTCTTGTTGCACAATTTATTATTACATAAAAAAATGAGACAATATTTTTTTTCTCTGCATTTCCAGTCAAACTGCTTGACAGATTGATTTTGAATTTTCAGAACTATTTGTTCTTATAAAAACCTGGAATTGATTTGTTCATTGGTGACCAATATTCATTTTTAGGTGTGATATTGTTCCCTTGTTCTACTCTACTCCTCAGTATTTTTCCCATTATGTTATCTCATCAGAACTAACAATTGGCAGCTAAGATGGTCCTGGAGTGCACAGTACTGTGAACTGTAGTAATCTTTTTTCATTTGACAGTGGTACTTTCTCTCATGTGACCTTGTTATTGGTACCTTATCTTAAGGCTTATGGGACAATGTTCTTGGTACTTTCTTTGAAATGTGACAATGTTAATGATACTTCCTGTCAAGTGATTTTGTTATTGGTACTTTCTCTAATGTGGCATTATTCACTGTATTTTTCTTAAATGCTGCATTGTCTATGAGCTCTTTCTATTTCTTTCAGATGTTCATCAGCTCATTCAATTGAATCACTTTGTAAAATTTGAGAGAGATTTTAAGATAACATCTTGCTATTTTTATTTATCTTTCTGTTCTGTTTATTTAGACCTAGATTCTGTTCTTGAAGAAAAATTAGCCAGAGTTCCCATCCAGGAATCAATAGAGAAAGTAGAAGCAGAGATAAAACCTGATGCCATACAAAAAGCAACATTAAAAGCAGCTAAAAGTAGGTTGATTTATTAATGAATTCTCTGCTTGCTCCACTCACAACTCATTCCTGATCTTCTCTGAAGTGAAGACCTCATTGATTCTTAGCTTCCATGATCTCACTTAACAGTAGCAACTGAATATTCATTCTTAGTTCTAATCCCTCTGAATGGCATGTAATTATTGCATACACAGTAGTAGCATATATATCATTAACCAGCATGTTTCCTGCGCTACAGAATATAAAACTAGGCAAGCAAAAATAAGAAATTTTGTATTTAATTCTGCATTTGGTAGCGAAGAATAGAGGGCGTTGGAAACAATATTTACAAGACACATCCCCATTTTTTGTTACTTTACTTTGATGTGAAATAGTATTTATTGAAGATTTAAGATGCTCAGTAAACTTAAAGTCAAAGTATTATTCAGAAATAAAGCTAAAAATTCTAAAATATAGTCAGCCTAATTAAGTCACAACTTCTCAACAACAATGCCATAGTTTGCAGACTTCTATTAACAATTAACAATTTTCTAGTTCCCATTCTTGAAACAAACTAATGGAAATTTGAAAGTATATTTACACTGAGAAGTCTGCTTCCATTCACATCCTTAACATCTGACAAAAATGATCAATAAAATAAAAAAAAGGAATATTGATTTTTGGGGAAGAATTTATTAATAGGGGGATGAATGGAGGAAGTATAAAGCAGCTGAATTAACAGACTAAGCAAAGAATGATGTTTCTGTGGGCTCCAGCTTTCTTTTCTGATTTGTTTCAAGGCAGGCAATTCACAATATACATGTTGTACGTCTACATGCAGTATATTTGGCAATGAAACCAGTTTGATTTAATAGTTTCCTTAGCAACAAGTATATAATAGTGAGTTTATTTAACTATGTAATGGCCTAACCTTCACTGAAATTAAGTGATGTAATTATTTTTCTAATTCAGAAATCTCAAACACAATTGAGCACCATTTGGACCGAGCAAAAGACAAGGCTAATAAAGTGGTTGAAAATGTTGTCCGAAGTGCAATGAAAGAAAGTCCAGGGAACTCAACTTTGGTTAAGAAAGTGTTAAAAGAAGTAAATGAGCATGCGAATGTAGGTGCTCACAAAGATGTCAACCTAGGAATTGTTCATAATGAAGCACAAAATTCTCTCAATGAAACTAAAGTGTGAGTGATGTTTCCTTTATCTATTTCTAATCCGGGAAATGCTTATGGTGGCTGGGTTTTTATTCTAGACTTTCTTACTTAGCTTATTTCTGGAAATTGGTTTTCTGTTATTGTAACATTGGTGGTGGATATAATATTCAACAGGCAGATCTGGAGGATTAATTTTTCAGAAAAAAAGAGCCAACAATCATTCAAATTTGGCTCAAATTTTCAAACAGTTGCCCAAAGTTTTCCCCCCACAGGAGCGTGAAGGGATTTTTCAAATATATATTTCGAACCCTTTTGTGTATTACCAGATCCGCCCCTCAAGTTATGTTTCTTAAATATATATGTATGGGTTGAAGGTTAACAGTGCAAGGTTTTAATTGACTTCATTTATGTATGTACTTATTCCATTTTCATAGATAATGAATTCCTTTTGGAGGAATGTTTGTATTTAATAAAATGTGACAATAAATGATAAAGGTTCAAACCAGCAGGCTTGCAATCCTGGCAATGTTCCAGCAGGCTTGCAATCCTGGCAATGTTCCAGCAGGCTTGCAATCCTGGCAATGTTCCAGCAGGCTTGCAATCCTGGCAATGTTCCAGCAGGTTTGCAATCCTGGCAATGTTCCAGCAGGCTTGCAATCCTGGCAATGTTCCAGCAGGCTTGCAATCCTGGCAATGTTCAGTTCCAGATGCCTATTTCAAGAGTTTGTTTCTTGTAAATATTTTGTTTCATTGCAAGATATATATTATTCATGTGAATGAATGTGCTTTTATGTCACATGTGGTGACATATTGTTATTATGAGTAGATGGTGTTCAGTGTTCTTTGACTGTTGTTGGCAGTCGGCATATATAACAAATGGCAGGTTGTGACATTTTGCATGTTAATGCCTTGTTTGGTTGTGCCATGAGTGCAACATCTGATCTTATCTGTTCATGTGTATGTACTCAATTGCTACACTCCTTACCTATATTTATATTCCCTATACTGTACTTATATTCCCCTAATGAGAATATACTCTTCAGCTATATTCCCCTGATACCAGCTGGATGAATAAGTATTGCCAAAAATACTAGTCTGTTCACATATTTCTCCTAAAGGGATACACTAGGGAACTTTTATATCACATCTTGCCATTCTTATATTGGAACTAAATGTACACCTATAATGCTTATCTTGTAAAATCTAAAGTTATTTGAATTAAAGTTTTGACTTGTATAATTTTGTGTTATCATTTTCCAGTGTTATCTTTTCCAACTTATCATTATGTCAAGAATAGCACAAGTTTGAAAATATATGTAGGGAAATTAATGATTGTACAAAATCTTTTACTTTGGAAGTTGGGCCCTCAAACTCAAACATACTGTAACTGTATTATGCTTTTTCACCTAAAATGACATTATTTTTATTACAGTTTAGCATATAATATGACATCATTGGCTGAAATTGTGAAAAAAGCAATGCAAATTATAAACAAATGAAAAATGAGATTAGAAACGGTTGATCAAGCTGATCAACTAAGGGTGGTCAAAAAAATGGAAACCCTGTATTTTTCTTATATCTTTGTCAATTTAAGGATATACTCCCTGATATTTCACACATTTGTACATCATTCAATTTCCTACCACCCTACCATATTTCATGACCATCAGACTGATGGTCACAATTTTACAGCACTTTGAATAACATGCTTCAGATTTGACCATTATCGCGCTGTAGGCAAAACAGCACAGTTGTCAATGAGCTGAATGCATTCCTCAGCAGGTATGGCCTGAATGAAACAGATGATCTCATTTTTGAGGTTCGCAATTGTCCTGAGGTCATTTTCATATACTCTATCTCTGCCATATCCCCACAGGTAGGGTCTTTAGACGATGAGTACAGGTTTCCCCACAACGCAATAGTGGCCACTGGGCATGTTCTTTAAAGTACTGTAACATTGTGACTATCAATCTGATGGTCATGAAATAAGGTAGGCTGGTAGCAAATTGAATGATGTACAAAAGTGTAAAATATCAGGGAGTTATTTTTTTAAATAACAAAGATATGAGGAAAATGGTAATAGGGTTTCCATTTTTTTTGACCACCCTGTACAATGGACATTTCTTACATAGATATAGGGTTGAGCCATGCCTCCTAGTAATCAACAGTATGTTTGATATTATTCCATGTCTGCATGATTGACTTTAAAGTTCATTATGTTTAAGGACTGTAAGCTGAACCTGTACATATTTCATAGACTTTATTTAGCTTTTATATGCATCTTTGAATGACTAGTCGATGCTCTCTTACCTCATAATATCATGGATGTCTTTACTGAGGATTCTTTCATTTCGCCAGTCGCAACCCCCTAGAATATGAATACTTTATTGTTTGTTACCTAATGTTACATAATTGTTGGTGTCTAGCTTTGTAGCATACCTCACTCATAACAAAGTTGGATTTTAGCAATTAAATGGTCATAAAACCCAAGGTGCATGGAGCTAGAAACATTGACTGAAAAGTTCATGGCATGGCCATCCTCATTGCTGTGCATGTCCAAAGAATATGGTGGCCTAATCGTTTTGAAAATAAATTGTTAGAAAAGTTTTTAAGAAAGTTGCATAAGTCTATTTATTACCAGGTAAATCAACATCAGTGGTTTGATTACTGTCTAGTGTGACGTCATTAACCTATGCACATAAAATTCTTCGGGGTCACCACTGGTGAAATGAACACAGCCTTATTGTATCAAATAACAGGCAACCTCTCTTCAAATATCAATTTCTCACCAGGTTTTCAAAGCATAAGTTCAGATAATTTATACAGTAGTCTTTACATATATACATATATATAGCATTATTACAATGTTAAGGTAAGCCATTTGATATTCTTTCATTGTTGTCTTTTACATTCCAGCACTCACCAGTTAGAAGCATAGCCTAATGATACCTAGTCATCCATTGTGAACTAACCATACTGATGTAAGTTGACTCTAAATTGGATATTATTATATTGTGGAGACAGACCACTCATGTCCTGTGTAGTCATCTGAGGTTATACAGACTACTGTTGGAAAGTTATACCTCACAATAGCTGGCAGTTGGGACAAGAAACATTTGACTCACAGAATACTATATGGTGCATTGGTATATAATGCCTTATAAGGGAATCTCTGCAGATCTTTCATGCCATTCACATGATCCACTAAAATATATTGGATGTGAATGTACATTGAGTTTGATAAAATTGGATTCATATTTATTTTTAAAAATTGGCTGTACATAAAAACTGATATATAACTCCAGTATATCAGAAGATTGTTATCCCATCGAACGAAGTTCGGAGGGATATAGGGAACGCCTCCGTCCGTCCGTACGTCCGTCCGTCCGGGCAATAACTCAAATACCGTTGGCCCGATTTTGTTCATATTTTGTACACATATACCCTATGGGGGTAGAAGTTCTGCTCGAAAGCCGATTTTCAAAATGGCCACTCATTTCAAAATGGCGGCCATTTTAGTGCCGAATTTACAGTAATTTATGTGCAATATGTAAAACTGTAATAGCAATATGTTTTAGATGTAAAAAAATTATATAGGACATTAATAAAGCTAGAAATGTAGATATTAAAGAAGCACATGGCAGCCATCTTGAAAAATGGTGGCCTTTACTCGTTATTTAACGATTTTTGCTGTAACTCGAAAAGTAGTGGAGCGATTTTGTTCATATTTGGTATGTGAATACTATAAGCCTGACACACTGTTCTATGACACTTTTGGTAGAAGGCGGCCATTTTGAAAAAAAATTTGAAAAATGGCCGCCATTTTAACATATTTTACTATAACTCGAAAAGTAGTGAAGCGATTTTGTTCATATTTGGTATGTGAATACTATAAGCATGGCACACTGTCTAATGACACTTTTGGTAGAAGGTGGCCATTTTTCAAAATGGCCGCCATTTTAACGTATTTTACTATAACTCGAAAAGTAGTGGAGCGATTTTGTTCATATTTGGTATGTGAATACTATAAGCATGACACTCTGTCCTATGACACTTTTGGTAGAAGGCGGCCATTTTGAAAAAAAATTTGAAAAATGGCTGCCATTTTAACGTATTTTACTATAACTCGAAAAGTAGTGAAGCGATTTTGTTCATATTTGGTATGTGAATACTGTAAGCATGGCACACTGTCTAATGACACTTTTGGTAGAAGGCGGTCATTTTTCAAAATGGCCACCACCATTTTAACGTATTTTACTATAACTCATTGAGCTATATACTTTGTAAAAATGCCATCCATGGCTGTTCGATGGGATTCGCTACGCTTTGGCGTTGCCGTTGTTCTGGTTTGTATATTCATGAAGGGGATTTAGTGTACATTATTTATGGATGTCATAATAATCATATGCAATTATATGTACTCATACTCAAGTTATTGATTATTACTCAAATGAAGCCACCTTAAAGGTGTTGCAGTATAAATGTAAAATGAAAGATCTAATTGTGAATGGACAAAAATATTACTTATTATTTTAATTGCAGTAGAAAAGATTCTTGGTATTTATTTGAAAATTGGACTTAATTCTCAACTTGAATCGATACCTTAACAGGATTGGACCAATGTTTCATCAATGATTTTAGTTCAGTGTTACAATTATTCCGTTGAGTTGATACAAAAATAGTTTTCGGTGTTTGAAGGTTTTCCCTTAAAACTAAAGCCCATGGCCTAATTGGCAGGTGTAAATATGGGTAGAAAGGTGCATCCATCACGTTTGTGGTATCTACATGTATGTAGTATGGGCTTACACTTGTACAAAGGACATTACACATTTCTCCTGTATTGAATGTATAATGTACAGACTGTTATTGTTATTAAATATGGGAAATAAATGGATAGTAAGTGCAAAAACCATTTGAATATTATGTGTTGATAGCTAGCTGAGATATGTTTGTATGTACATGTATCTATTATTGCCCTTTTTAGAAAGGAGATACCAGGTCAATCAATATTGTTCTGAGAAAAATATGGTGGTGTACTGGGTGAAAAGCCAAGAAAAGTCTTCTATATATTATGTTCTTTCATTTCAATTAAACAATTCTTACATGAATCAGTTTCAGTCTCCAACATAAAAAAAATAAATGGTCGAAAACTGATTAATTGAAATCGCAGTGAGTCGTGTCATCATATCCATTGCTATATCCATCATATATTGCTCATTGCAGAATGCCTGGTATAATGTGATACAGAGGAAATTTTACACTGAATATGTTGATAGACAAAATTAAATAATGGTGATATTTCATTCAATATAACCATGAAAAGGCTTCATATTTGTGTAATAATGGTTTTAATCATGCTATTGAACATTAACATGATCATTATTAAAAACTCTTCCTTTATTTATGTGTCAACCAAACTAAGTTTACAATGTTCAATTCACAAAACTCTGAAATTGTTACAGATTTGCATTTTCTGTTATAGAGATTCTTTTTGATTATAAACCCCCGTTGAAGACATTAAAAAGTAGTTTTGTCTTTCTAGAGTCCTATTTAGGTTGATGTGGAGGAATAGGAGGTTGTTTCTAAATGTCATGGTGAATAATGACCTAATCGTCTCCACTGTAATCACTTACTAAAGGATGCTAATTTGACTCCTGGCAGCAAAGTATGGTGAAGGTGGGGATCCTTTAGTTCAAGTTGCTCAATCTCAGGAAACCTTTTCTGTAAATATTACAGTTTGAAAAATAGAAGTAAGGAAATTAATCACCTTTCTTTTTTTCAAGGATATATTAGTATTTACAGAAAAGGAGTTTTGACTATCAATGGTGGAGAGTTCAGGGTGATATGATTTTTAGGGGTTTTAGTGTTTTTTAAAATCAGAATTAGAAACAGCTGCTTTATAATCAAGGCACGAGAGTACACACTAAAAAGACTTAAACACTTTTCCGAAACAGTCGAGACTGGAATGTAGCAATAACTACAGGTATATTAAATTTCTTGTGCTTTATGGTCATACACGTAAATGAACTACACATCCTTGATTTACCTCTTTCAAAGGCTGACTAATCTGATAACCTTTGAATGAGGTAATCCTTGACAATTCTACAGTTTAATAGTCTGCCATTACTGTTCCTGACTGTGATATTTGTTCAAGCTTTTAAGAGCGCAATATTTTCTCCAGAGGGCATTTGAAAAAGCACATAGTTTTATACGCCCAATGATAAAAGAATTGATTTTATATCTTCAACTAATTAGAAAAAAACCCGAATAACTCTTCTCTTATAATTTACATTATACCAGGAAATATTGAGAAATTCATGTTTTAGTAACAAATCTTGTACCACCACTTCATTTTTGTCTGTCTCTATTTTATGTATAAAAAATAATGCTCACTCGAAAAATTAGCTAAAACTAGTTTTATACAATATCTGATACCATAGGCATGGATTGAATTGACATAGCATTCTGGGAAAAGGGGCACATTGTTTTATCTGTTTGGATGTGTCTGTAACAATCACATATGCTATTTATCTCCATACTCGTTAAAATAGAATGGAACTTATTAGGAAGGTTAGATATAAATATGGACAAAATAAGCATACATATGTAACATATAAAACATGTTTGTTTAAATTAATTTGGTACATTGTAAAAATAACATTAGAGCGCTACATCTTAAATAAATAAAGGATAACTATAAATACACAAATATTAGACATACATTGTAAAGCTGGCTTCATTGAACACTATCTCACTACAGTAAAGGTCCATTTTTATAATTTTTGAGTATTTCAGTCCAATATTTAATCCTGGTCCCAGCCAAGTTGAGTTTTAAGTTTACTCCACTGAGTCCGCCAAAATGTCCCACAGTTATAGTGCACACGAGGGCCATGTGCCAGAGATTCCAAATATGGTCGTTCCAATAGAAAGATAACATCCATGTTGTCAGCCGGATTGCACCGAATATGCTATCAAGTGTAGCCGTTTGGTCTAAAACAGATGAGAAAACAAATTATAAGCTTACATTTTTTTAGACATTAACTGAAATCAAGGTACCTGCTGTACATCACATTAGCAGAATATATACAGGGTGTCCATAAAGTGTCTTTTAATTATTATAATTACAATGCAAAGTCTGATTATTAGGCAGAATATATACAGGGTGTCCATAAAGTCCCTTTATAATTACAATGCAAAGTCTGTGTAGAGCGACTTTATATTAAACTCAGTTAAGTTGTAGAATGTAATTTATCATCATTGTGCAAAATTATTTTTGCTCCTACAAAACTATAATTTCTTTAAAAGTATTTACAATTTTAGAAAATCTGCTGATGTTTGAAGGTTTTACTTTATATGATAGCATTAAAATATTTTTAATTTGAATATGTGAATTTGTGAATGCAGTAGAATGTAATGAAGGCAATATTATTTTGTGATTAATTTGTAGATCTCTAGGCATTTCAGAAACTTTATCTGAATATTAAACCATTATGCCAGGAAATATGTCCATCGTTTAATTGCAGTATTAATGTCCATAACTTATTGATTGTGTATTTGGCACTCACCAAGACTCATTGCTGCTTAGAACTTTAGCTATTCTCTCGAGAAGTGAAAGTCGTTGGATTTCCGCCAGAGAGTCATCGTCAAAAGTAGCTCTTTTCCTCTTTCCACTGTAATTAGCAATTAGAAGAATTAACATAATGTTAGAAAGATGCTTTCTTAAGTTATGTTATGCTCATGGTTTTGTTCATGTCAATGATTGCTCAAAAAATTAAAATTGAATTGAAAATTTTAAAAAGATGTTGGGTATGAAATGCAGTAAGCTTTATAAATGTACAGATTTTTTATAATTATACAGACTTTTTATTTGTCATAATGGTTGTAAATATGACCATTTGCTAATTCACATTGTAGAGGCAGTTAAGGGATTTGATGTCAACTTAAAAATGGCATCACTTAAAATGATCTAATATGCAATATTATCAACAAGTCATGATCATGTCAATATGTTTGGGATAACAACATGGATATGAATAATATTTACTACATAGTAAAACATTGTAAGATCTTGTTGCATTGCTCATTTCAAGCATATGTCAAATTTATATGTACAGTAAAACCTGTCTAATCTGAA